GAGGAGGCGGGGTAAGGCTGGGGAGTGACGGTAACCAGGCAGCCAATCAGGGGAAGGGCACAGACACAAGCTCAAAGTTCCAGCCACTCTTCCCAACCTGAAATAAACACACTCAGCAGTCACCATGGGAGTTTATTTTTCTTCATAACTGTGCGGTTTTTAAAATTCTACAGTAATGATGAAGTCATAGGCTACTACGTTCTTTAAGTGTGGAAACAGTTTTCAAAAAACGAAGACCATGCGCTACGAGTGAGGAACAGGCCATTGACTCTTCAGCTGGAATATACAGACATTTTCAATAAATACTGATCACTTTAACACTTAAATGGAATGACATGTTCAAATTTCTACACAGCCCACTATGAAAACAGCATGGTAAGTTACATAAAAGCTTCAACTTTAAGGATCCTTGCTTTTTTGTTAACTTAATTACTTTGTTAGAAAAGAGAAATGCAAGAATATTTGAAATGGAGTGTCACCTGGACAACTTTTCACACACACACCCCCCCCGCTATTCTTGGTAAGCTCCTGTTATATCAAGATAATTCAGAGCTGGCAGTTAAGTTAAAATATATATAAAAGAATCCCACACACCAGTTTCGGGAGTTGTTACAGGCAAGTATCTTCATGAATTTGGAATGGGTTTTCAAAAACTGTATCTTGACATTTATTGCTTTTACTTGTAAACCTGAAATCCAGTTTATTCCTTTGAAGAGTGCCAGAAGTAGAGAGTCAGTGAGATGCATGTTTTACTTATATCTTTGCATTCTGGTTAAGAAGAAAGAAAAAGATGACCCTCGCTCGAGAACACACATACACCTCCACCTACAAAACAGCCTATACCGACTAAAGCAGAACAAGGTAAGTCCTAAAGTAGCAGTATTTAAAAACACCAATAGGGTAGAAACCTATCTCATCCGATGTATCCGAAAACTTTTTTTCCTCCCATGCTTGGCCATAGTTTAGCTGGTTTGCAAGGAAGTTTGATTCTCCTGCAGAGAGGAGCAGTTTCTATAGATCAAGATTTCAGAGAGAACAGAGGTGCATGTTACTGGAACTGACAGAGGCACAGTGCCATGTATATTCTTCATGCTTCGATCTACTTAGACTGTTTCCCGCTGCTAAAGGAGGAATGTGAGGTGAGGACAGGAACCCAGATTTGTTACAAGTATTGCACAGTTTTACTGCGTGCCCGTTTAAGCTAGCAACGTGGTCTCAATACAGACCACTCAAGGTGAGGGACTTGGAGGATGCAAGAGATACCCACTCTCGATACATTCCAGCTCACCTTGAACGCTGCCAGCCTGGTGCTACCCAGCATAAACTGACTAAACTGCCACCTTGTAGACCTGTGATGAAAGGGGAGTTACTTCTAACAGACAAATTTGCTACACGACAGTTTGAGAGACCGCATTCCATAGGTTTCCATCTCTTCTTCCTCTATCCCCCAGAAGAGACAAGCAAACACGTTTAAGTTAGTATGTATTTGTGTAAACACCAGAACATTTTGCTATACAATAGAAAAAAAGTTGCTGCTCTTATATTCTTAGAGGAGCCCTGAAGATCTTGGAATACCTGTATCTTGCAACTAATAATCTGTACCACGTGCATTTCCTGGTTTGTACACAAACTGAAAGCAAGCTTGAACAATAGTAAATAGCAACTACACTCCTGCAACAGGTAAAAATGCCACATTGCAGCTGCTTACTCCTTCACTTTCGATATGTAGTCGGCCAGTTTGTTGATACTATCCTCTTGCTGTTCTAGAGCATCCAGTATGATGCCCATGGGGGTCTTCTTCAAGCCTATTCCTTCCATCTTGTTCTCCAGCTTGTTCTTTATGTTACGGAGCCTCAGAGAAGCATGGACAAACATCACTGCATGACAGAAACATACTTATTATTTGCTAATGCCCAAGGAATGCATAGTTCCTGCAGTATTCATCTTAAGACACACTCCAATGCCATGACATCACTGGAAGATGATGAAGTCACAGTGACTGCTTACGTAACAGCAGGTACTCATTTAATAACAACATTAAAGATGGCTTGTGCTGTTTTGTGTGTCCCCTTCCCCCCACTTTTGTTTTGGGATCACTTAAATAGAGATAGCAAAGGCAACAGCCAATTTAGATTCTGCAGACTTATTTGAGAAAGCTTAACTCATGTGCCCCTAGCACCCCAGAGAAGAGGAAAAATACTTACAGAGGAGAGGAAGTGTGATCCCAAACATGAACACCATGACATCTCCCAGGTAGGAGATCAAGAAGTAGCTAGACAGCATGATGACCACTACAAATGTGGTTGGGTACTGCTTCTTCAGCCTGCGGAGTATATCCTTGTTGTGCGATACCCACACAAACCCCATGAACATCAGCACCACCACAGTACCGCCAATAAGCATATTCAGGGGACTCAGAAATCTGGAGAGGAGAGGAAAAAAAGAAGGTGTCCTGTTTCAGAGCCTTCATGACTTGTGTCCATACAGCAAACATCTAGCTCACTGGTAACTTGTTACTAGGGAGGGAAGGCATTTAGAAATCAGTTGTTGCTGTCAAGACCTTTATCAACCTCTGATTTTTAGGCAGAAGCTAAATAAAGCAACAAGTACAACTGAACAAGCAACCCTTAGCACTGAATTTAGA